ATCGCTAGCTCTACGGTCATCCGTTGATCTCCAGGCAGGCGAACTGTGTGCATAAATATGCATAAGTGGTTCATCAGAATAGTCCAAGAATCTCAACGCTTTCCTAGACCAAGCTTTAGTTTCCAGTACTTGCCCATGATCAGCCTCCAATCAGACTGAACCCACTTCACTTAAAACCATGCATTTGCACAAGTGCTAAGTGTAATTTCATAGTAACTTGCACTTACTGGGAATAAATTGCCTTAACTTGAAGCTTTTGAATTGCATTTGCTGGGCTAGCAGTTAGAAAAATCTATCTTTTGGCTTATAAAATTATCAAATTTGATCTGTAAGCTACTGAGAGGGAATGACCTTGGCAACAGTGCTCTTTTGAGTGTCACTTTTCTGACTAAAAACACAGTTTAAGAGGCAATAATATGAGAAAAAAAACAGGACAGTTAACTACTCAAGGTTGAATTTTCCTAGAAAGTCTTATAGTGCCTGGTTACAGACAATAAACTGCACAGGAGAAATAGAAACATTTACAAAGATGCATCTAGACCAATTGAAAAGGATAGATTTATAGTACCTTATTATTCGTCTGAACATGAGGATTTTCAGTTGCCTATGAAAAGGATTATAAGACTTTAAGAAAACGTGGGAAGAGGTTTGCAAGTGTAGAAGATAACACGAGAAGAGTGCTCCCTTTTTCTTACTATTTTGTATGCTCTCTTATTTCTCTTTTAAGGGGTGTACAGTTGGTGTTTGAGAGTGTTTCTTAAAAGCTCTGTAGACATCTGTTTTCAAGGAGGAGAAATGAAAGCCAGGTGAAAACTTCCCGAAACACTACTAAATCCAGAATTTCCCGTATGTTAAACCATAAGCTTTTTTCCCACCAGTCCTGTCAAATTCCTTGTTGGTGTTTGGTTTTGCCTCTGTAGCTTCTGTTCCTCCTAAGAATGAGAAGCCTATCTTTTATCTGTTTGGCATGTGAAAATACATTTTTCTCCTCTCAATTATTTTTAATGCAAGTGTGGGAAAAACCCCGGAAGTTGGTGAACATTTACTCAGGCTGCTTTGGCAGCATTTTGATATTTAAGACATCAGTCAAAATTGGAACTTCTTTTTTCCTGGGGGACAAATTTTTGGTATGTATTTGAATGTGCTTGTGAATCAGTCATAGGGATGGTACTTGTGCTATTGCTGTGAAATAGCAATTATACACATCGTTTTACATTGTTTTGCTCTATAGCATTAAGGTAGTCAGGCTGCGCACAGATGCAGATCACTGCAGGATCAGAGCCATGGACCTCAGTCCTCCAGTTACACGCATGTTTATCAGTATACATTCCACTAACATCAGAAGAACTCTTGCAGCAGGTGGAGTTAAACAGCGCATGACTGGTTTGTGGGGTCTGGGCCCAAGATTATTCCCAAGACAAAGGCCGTTGAAGGATCAGAGCAACAAGGCTTGCTCACAAAGAAATTCTTAGGAATAGATAACTAAATAATTCTGTGAATTGGCTACTGGTTCATACTATCTCCCCGCTTGGCTCTGTGGCTCTTACTTAATGTATTAACATTATGGTGGTTTTGTACGAGTATAGCGGGTTGCAGCTTCATGACCTCTGAAATGGACAATGCATTCCTTGTGTCCAGAAATCTCATACTGCACTAGCAGCTTTGGGAGTGGAAAGAGAAGAGGTTTATTCCATTGGTAGTATGTGCTGAAGATATTTAAGGACACACAAAGGCGAGTGCTTTCCCAACAGAGTACACAGTTATCTGTTTTGCAAAGACAATTCAGACTTACTTTTTATACTTCTGAGCCTGACAGTGTATAGTGCTTTCATTCACACGCAGTGAGCATTGACTTTTATCATATTATTAGCATTCTAAACTCGCTGTTTCAGAGGTTTATAACTCAACAGTAGGTTTAGACTCAGTAAATTCAGCCCAGGAGCACTATTCTTCAGTGTAAAAGACATCTTTAGTTACTGCAGTATAAAGCAAAGCAGACCTTGCTTATTTCAGGCCTTTTTAAAAGTCTTAGATAACAAATTTATAAAACAATTCTTGAAAAAGCGAATTGCTACAGAGTTTCATTCCGATGTTCCTCAGATTGTTAGCTTCCTTTGACATAATTAGAAAAAAATTGAAAATGCTGAATGATAGGCATTTAAAATCAGCTCCTGAGAACTCATAATGGACCATATTCCACATATTCCAGTGCAAATCTCACTGACATCGGAGGATGCATTCTGTACAGGCCCTATTTTTAAAATTCTGCATGCATAATCACCATTAGCATTGTTACAGTATCTGCCATGGGTGGGTGCAACTCTGAATACAGATTTGTACTATCAGTCCTAATGGCTCTCTTCTGAGAGAAATTCAGAAAGCTCTTCATAAGCTGTTCTGGACTTTTAGATAACTAATCCCATCTCACACATATGCTCTCAGGTACTTTTTGCTTAAGAAAATCAAACGCTTCTGAATACATATTATAGGACAGACGCTGTTCCAGTCTGTTGGATAAATTATATGTATTTTATAACATTCACTTAGAGAGATGTATAGGTTTGTACATATTATAGTAACAGCATAATAGTGTTAAGTTTATGATATAAGGTGACATGAGCCCAGAAAATGTCAATGCCAAGTACGCTGTACTAGGTGTCAATTGTTTTCCTTTCTGTCATAAAACTGTATATGAAAAAGAAATTTTAATTTCAGTTGCTTGGGAATGCTACATATGTGTTACAGCCTGATCATTTGTTGAGCATGAGGTGATGTGTGTTTAATTAACATTACTTCTGTGTGTTTAGGTAATTACCATTAGAACACATGAGGACATATGGTACATATTGCCTGTGCTAGAGCATAATGTGCTGGACTACAACAACTACACTTGTTAGCTGATTTTAGCATTTCTTCACACAGCAGGAAGCACCCATGCTGTGGTTTCTTAATGTACTCTTTAACTACTGCACTGTAGAGTACTGTACAATAAAAATAATATTTAATTATTATCTTCATCTTACCAATACTGCTGCTATCCCAGTGACCCTGGTTGCTGCTTCAGGGTTCCACCATGCTGTACCCTGAAACACATATCTTTTTCATTTCAGAGTTTTATTTCTTAGATGATATTGCTGAACAGAGATGAATTTTTTGAGGACAGGTTTGTTGCATGGATTGTGATGGCTTCACATTTGTTCAGGTCTCCAAGGACCAGCACCAATAAATGTGAGAGAGACAACAGCAGAACGGCATACTTTCCTATTTCCACCAGGATGAAAAAAAATACTCTAAATTAAGTCTAACCTTAAATGTATAATCTGTCCTTGGGAGAAAAAAAAAAAAAAAGATATAGCATCTTCAAGCTCTTGGCATCCCTTATGAGAAAAAATTGGTTCTAAGGGTCTCTGATCTTGTGTTTTAGTAAAATAGAACTGCACGGCTGACTGACAGTTCTGATCTAAAGCATTTACGTTTAAGTTTTGATCTCTCTGCTTTTGATTAAAACTAATGAGCTCATTTAATTCAAAATGGGAATCTCTGATAAGAGAAATAAGGTTGATGTGATTGGATTAGAGGGGCAAATTAAACTCTTAGAGCAGAAGTTTGTGCTTATATAGTGTATTAAAAAGCTGTTGGCGTATTATGGCGTGTTAGATGATGAGAAAAATTTCATAGTAATTCATATTTAATCAGAAGAAATGAAAGTACTAAATATAACATGGCTCTGCTTTTCCCTCGAGTGATAAAGAGCTGTACATTTAAAATGACATCGAATTCATGCTCTCTAAAACAAAAAATATCTTAAGAAAGACACTAAGGAAAGGGGCACTGTTGTCAGTTATTTCACCACAATAGAGTTGAAATGTCACAAACATGAGACAACGTGACCACATTATATCAAGGACAATTTGATATAATCGTTAGCTCACAAACAAGTTTGTGTGTTTCTGTTGACTGCATAACAAATGCTTTTTAAATACTTGAATACGTTCTACTGCTAGTTTGGTTGGTTCTCCGAAACAATAGCAGAATAATTCAAAATATCTTTTTTATTCAGTGTTAATTACTCATTGCAACTGAAAGTTAGTTAATCTACAATAATGGTTGCTTATTGTAAGCTGCTCCAGAATTTTCCCATGAACAATATTTTCAGGAGAGGTTGGTTATCAGGGCTAAAAATAGCGATAATCAAGATTGTATAAAGAATATCTCAGTGCTGACTATGGTTGTAACCACTATTTTATCACTGTTTGTGCTAAGAGTATTTATATTTATTTGCTATTTTAAGTGGTTGTAGTTGAGAGGGTGAGATGCACAAGTGAGAGCTATAGTTTCAAGCAGGAAATGCATCTTCAATTGGACTACAAAGACATTTCATTAGTGACTAATTAGTCACCAATAATTAACAATGATGATAATGATGATGACAATAATAATAATATGTGTCATTTACTTGAGCATTTTTGCCTTCAGGCTGCTTGGTGCTTTATTACTAATAAACCCTCAGTAATGGGGAAACCAAGGCACTCAAAACCAGCAGTGACTCACCCTAGGTATCACTGCAAGCAGAGAGTGGAGACTAGGGAATAAAAGCCTGCAGAATTTGCAGCCTGTTTCCTCGGGCAGAATTGCTACCTCAGTGAGACTTTGCCTTTCACAAAATACTAAAGAACTCCCCAGTTTTTAAACCAATGCCATACCCTAACAAAACAACTCCAGTCATAACAAAATTGTGCAAGAAAGAGTTAATGAAGCAAATCTCTGTTAAAAATTCTATGGCAAAAATAACTTGAAAATGAGACTTACTGAGTATACATATATTTTTCAATTTTTTTTTGCTAAGTAAACGTTTTCTAAACGAGGTAAATTGATTACAACACTCTTAGCATCTATCAGTCATTTATTTTTAGTGAGTTCAAGGATTGCACCTGAAAAATAGCTTAGAGGGGGTGTATAAAATCTAAATTATGTGTATATGTATTTTTTCTATTCCCTAGTGGAATCTACAAGCCCCAGTTTACTAACCACTGACAACACTCTAGAGCGCTCTTTTTTCATCCGAATGAAATCTACACTGACCAAGCGAGGAGTGCACATCAAATCGTCAGGATACAAGGTAAGGCTTGCACTGTAGCATGAAATATTGACATCTTTAAATTATGTTCATTCATGTTCCAGGGACACATTAATAGACAGAGAAAGGAGCTATTTCACATTTGCATATGTCTTATTCCTTTTGTTAAAGAATCATTAATACAATATTTCCAGCCTGAGGTTTGGGTTTGGTACCTCAACTCCATTAAATTGGTCATTATTATGATAAACATTGATGATAACAGCCTGATAGCATTGAAAAAAGCAACACTTCCAGAGTAAAGGTGTCTCTTACCAAAGCAGGTGAGTCGCAGTAACATCACTTTTTCCACAGTGGAAAATTACTGCTCATTTTGTTACACTGTTAGTCATCTTTGGGTCATGTTTTCCCCAGAGAGGTAGGATTTCTTCATGCAGACAGTATGCTAGAGCTATTTAATTTCGCTGCCGTTCTGGCTGAAGGAAACAACAAGCCACAACGAGTACTTTTCCACCATTTTTCTTTCATTGTCTGTCTGAGGGGCATCTGCTGCTGGGGATCGTATTTGCTGGATTTCAGACTCTTTTAAGATATCAAAGTCTCTTGTTCCTTATCAGCAGTAATCTCATTTTTCTTCAGTCATATATCGCCCATAGCGCCTGTAGCTATCAGTGGCTTTGCAGTATACTAAAACTAGAAGGAATGGCACATTTTTAACATTGTCAACTTGTAGAATGAAATATGTCATCCATTAAGTATTATACAAGATAAAAGAGTGGTGCAAGAAAGTAAGTCTGAGAATGTGTGTGTATTTAAAGGACTTGCTTGTCGGTGTTCATTTAAAAACTTTCACAAGCATTTTCTTCAGCTTTTAGAGGAAGATTTAGAGAAGCTTTGAAGTAAAATTCCCCAACTCACGTTTCCCAAAACATTCTCTGGGGATATGGCACTGAGGTAGTCTACCTGAGCAGTAAAAATCTGGTAGAAATGTGTTCTTTGCAAGCAATTGACTGGGAGTTCTTCTGTTGGACAATTTCTGGGTCGAGATGATTAAAGTACTTGCTAATAGAAATTTAGGTCCCAATCAGTGTTTCTTTAAGGCACCACAAGTTTTGATCTGTATACTGCTTAATTGTCAACACCTGAAAGAATGCACTCAGTACTTTTTCATGACTGGTTTACAAGTCTCAGAAGATGTCAAGACCAGGCAGTGTGCTGGCAGTCTCAGGAGGAGGAAGGAGAATGAATGAATGAGTGAATGGGCATGAATGGGCAGGTCACTGAAGTTATACTGATTTTCATTATCAGGTATGGTCCATCCAGGCTCGACCAAAGTTAGATTGGCAGCAAACTTCCTTTGCTGGGTATTTTTGCTGCAATAGTAATGGGGAAAAATAGATAATTCATCTGTGGATTTTGTAGTCTGACATTTTTTGCCAGGTGTAGATGAGAACAAAAGGATGACGTGAGTGACTTTGTCATTCTCTCTTCTTGGAGTCCTGAAAATCTAATGTTAGTCCAGCACCAGACTAGGACATATCTAGAATTGGCTGGCTTCACAAGGGGAGGGGGGGTTTACTCATTACAATACATTTCTTTGTAATTCACAAAATTCTCAAAAGAAAGACACAGTGATATCTACAATAGAAACACAATTGTATTTCTCTTTTAGACCTGCTGATGCCTCATGGAAACACTGAAAACCATAAATGAGATGTCATCGGTAGAGCAGAATGAATTTTGAAAGATCAGATATCCTTCTTTAGCCAGCTTTTCCTAGACACAAAGAATGGCTAAAAAGAAAAAGTATGATAATCAACAAAACTGTCTGTAAATAAAACATTTCTTTTTTTCCAAATTTTTCCATGAGGCATCAGCAAGTCAGCATAAGTAAAATTGCATAAACAGTGTGCAAGTTCTAGGCATGTGTAAATATAGAGGCATAGTTCTTCTGCGTTTTGATGTTTTCAAGGATTTTGTAACTGACAGTGTTTGGCTGAATTCAGCTGTGTCCAGTCATAGGAATTGTACTTTGACAGTTTTTCAAAAGCATGGTTATTGGCACTCTATGTTCTATAGAAGGATAATTATCCACAGTCCCAGTGAGCCCCAGAAAAACTGAATATTAATTTTAGAAGAGTTGGATCACGTGAATGTCTTTTTAACCAAATGTTAAGAAATGTTTTACTTAAACGTCATTCTCGGTGTATCTGACAAGCATAATAAAACTCAACTGCTACAGTGAATGTCATTCAGACATTTAGGAATGTAACCAGTTTATTCACTGATTTCTAAAAGTCTAGTGCCAGAACAAACTTAAGTCTTCTTAAATTTGCTTAGTTAAATTAAGAAAGATCCATGAGCCTTGTGGATGTACAGCTATAAGAAAATATCAAAAGGAGAAATAGTTACACAATATTGACAAAGCTCACAGGACTAGCTGGCTAAATTCTACCTTGGAGGTCCCTGGAAGACCTCCAGCACTTACTCAGGAAACACTATGCCAGCTGGGGTCATGTCCAGCGGAGTTCCTGCAGGAAATCCTGGTGGAGCAGGCTGACTCAGGGCCTACTGCCTTACACCTTCAGAATACAACATAGCACTGAATTTTACCTCTGCCAAAAGCAAGGGCTCATGGCTAACAGCTTCCCTTGAGCTCTTGTGTCATTGTGGGTGAGTAACCCTCCTGAATCATCATAGAATCATCCATCAGGAGCAGTGTGCTGGGATCTCCATATCTTATGTGAGTCAGGTTTTAGCTCTGTCAAAGGCACTCAGCTCCCCACGGATTCAATCTTCCAGCAGAGACAAAATTTTTCATCTTTGTGAAGTGGTTGTGTGTTGTTCCAAACTCTTACTGAGCTCAGAACCACATCTCTGTATTTTCCCTGCATTGCGGACTGCAGATGAATGCTTTCTTTAGATAGCAAATGACTGAGGTGGTCCACAAGATGCTTAGCCAATTTTCAGAATGAGTGATCTCTGCCTCAGGAAAATCACATAAAATTGAAAACAGTCAGAGAATGAGATTGATTAATCATTTGGGTTGATCTAGTTAGGACTAATTTTCTGTCGAAAGAAATCTTGGAACAAAACCCACACTGATAGACTTACATGTATGAGACCTTGTTCCAGACCATTCTGACATGAGATAAACCATGGTTTTAGTCCCTTCCTGGATGGATTTAATTAGTCTTGAATTATACCTAAAGATGGAGGTAGTGGCCTTTTTTCCATGAATGATATTACCTTGAAAGTCTGCAATAGGAAGGTGGTTACATAATTAATCCTACCTCTCTCCTCTCTCATTGTTCCCCAGCATTCTCCTTGGATTTGATTTTCCCTATTCATAAAAGTCTTGGGCTCAGAGCTTGTAGAAGAAGAGTTTACGTACAGTGCTAGGGAGCTATTGAGTTTTCAGTAAGTAAATCTACAGTCTTAAAAAAAAACTCAAATAAAGTGTAGTCAGCTGATAAAAAACACTGAAAACAAATAAAAAGAAAAAATTATAATTCTATTCACTGCAAAACTTGGAATGCATTACTATTACAGCTGTTGTCTAAGACACATGATGCAGAGACTGTTTTTCTGTGTTAAAATGTATCACATCTTCCTTTTTTCATTTTTTTTCATCAATAAAAGATAGTTTTGTATTTTGTTTGGATTTTTTGTCTCCATTTTATCTCCTTTTCCACTTGTTTTCCTCCATTTCAGGGTCACATTTCTCTCCACTTAACAGTTAGCCCATCTTTAATGTTTCTATTGTCCTGCCTTCTCACACATGTCAAAGCTAATTGTAATTGAAAACTACTTGTTCAAGTCCAGGGATACATTTCCTTCTACCCTGTAGTATCCTATTATTGTTTTATCACATTTAATTTCATGTCAGAGTGTGCTAGGATTTTCGTTGTTCAAACCTTTAGGGCCTAATACTGGTCTCTTGAATGAGTCATAATTAATGGGATAAAGAAGTAGTTAAAGCATTGAACATCATCAGAGCCAGCTCATCAAATGTGTTAGTATATAACCATACATATTCCTCTACTGTTTTATGGAGTAGCCTTCCCATGATAAGCTAATACAGAGGTGGATAAGCTACCTAGATGCCTGCTTTGGCTCATTTGATGTCAACAAGCAACAGTCTCCCTGTCATTAAAACATCAAAGTCATTGAGATCACAAGGCAATGAGTCTACTGCAGACTCTTCAGTGACTGGAAGTAAATATAGCAGCTATCATGCACTGAGCAAAATCTTTCTTACAACCTTAGACTTCTGAGCCTGTATTATTGAAAAAAGAAATACTTGGTAGGTTACTCAGATGAACATGCCTTGAAGGGAGGCCTTGGTGTCATTGAAAATTGCCTTGGGGTTACAGAAAAGCACATGCATAGTCTTCAGGGATGAATGAAATGGACTTTGTTTCAGCTATTTGTATATGACTTTCAGGAGTTCTGGAGTCCTTTAATATGGCACAGAAGTGTTAGCACTGGATAGAAGTGTAAGCCCTGCATTGCTGCTTTACAGAATCACAACTCTTATCAATGCCAAGAGCAGGTATTTGCACCTGTTTTTCTCTTTGGTGTTCTTCATGTGCAAGAGAATTGTGGAAAGTAAGCAAGTTTAAACAAACTGACCAAAGTGCAAAGAAGGGAGCAAAGTTATCATCATTATTTATTAAGTCACAGAGGACTGTTAAACCTAACAGTATAATCTGAAGCACAAGTGGACATACTGCATAAAAATAAGTAAATTGCTATAATAAAAAAATCTGGTTTAGCAAGTTTAGTTAAGAAATTTTGATGTTTTGTTGCACATCTAATGTCTGCATCTCAGTAATGGAGGATTGTCCTGGGTTCGACCAGGACAGGGTTAATTTTCACCGGACTCCAGGAAGGGGCACAGCCGGGCGGCCTGACCCCACCTGGCCAAACAGAGCAGGGTATTCCATACCATGTGACGTCACGCTGGGTTCCGGGGGGGTGGGGCGCGGCGCGGCGGGGAATCACTCGCGGCTCGGGAGCGCGGGGGAGCGCGGGGGAGC